ATTTTGAACATCATAAAATCTCTAAAGAAAAAAAAAAAATATTGATTTGTCCAAACTATGCTGACAAGTTCTAGTAATTAACACAATTTATCTTGATTTGTTGATTGGGAGCATTGGCTACCGACTAAGAAATTTTGGATTCGAAGTTTGCAAATGTGACACATGTATGAGTTTGTCTTATTTGACCTAAATGTCCCAAAAAATTTTAGTAATTAAAAAGATTTTAGGGTTAAATGTCAATTGTGCAATTAATGTTTTGCAACAACAAAATATATTATTGGAATTTCCACAATTTGGTTAGCATATGGGTAAGAAACCTATTCTCTTCCCTTCTTCTTTCTTTTGCTAGGGTTTCTACATCTCCTCTCCCTCCCTGGCTAGGCCAAAAAATTCCTTCCTTCGCCCTTTTCTTCATGAAATCCCCTTCGCCATCCAAACCCCCCACTTTAGATAGCCCCCTAAATAGGAAAAATTATTAGGTCCGGTCACCGGACCTAGAAATAAGTCCGGATATCCGCTAAAAAATTTGACGCGTGGAATGTACATGTGTCCATGGAATTTTAAGTCAAGCATGCCAAAAGCGCAGTGAAAGCGCAGGTAAAGCACAGTCAAAGCGCACCCAAAGTGTAGTCAAAACGTACCCAAAGCGCACAGTCAAAGCGTAGTCCACATGGCATTTTTTTAGTGGATGTCCGAACCTATGTTCTAGGTCCAGTGACCGAATGTAATAATTTACCCCTAAATAGGGGGCAACCCGTCACAAGATGCTCTTATTGGGTATCTCTTCAACTAAAATCCTCTCCAAAACCCAAATCTTTCTACAGATATACTAGTTTCTTTTGACCCATACAAACCCCCTCACTCCCTAAATTTATTTATTTATTATTCTTTGAGCTTTACTAAGATTCCAATGATTTTTTTTTTTGTTCTTGTTCCTTCAATATTTTACAACTCTTTGCATGTCAAAGTTCCTCATATTTTGAGTTGTAATTCAGATATTCCAAGTTGTAATTTTATTTATAGTGAATGAGAATGAACATAGCCCTCTTACCCCCACCCCAAAAAAAAAACGATACTCTGAAATAAAGCTGTAGTTCCAGCCCATCATATACAGTGGTGTACAATTATTTCCAGCATAACATGCCAGAGAATTCAAGACTTTGCAAGTCAATGATGCATTTCTAAACTAAATATTTAAAATTAAAAATAATAATAATTAAACAAAAACACCCAAACAAAGCATAATATTAAATTTACATTAGATTTTCAAAATTGACCATACCTTAATCCCAAGTTCATCCTATCCATGACAAATATAGGGCCCACCTTGCATTTTTTTTTTTTTTTGAGACATTTTGATCAGTTAAGATAAACTAATATGCAAGTTTCTAATTCAAGATATTTTGACTTCATTTGGGATAAACTTTTTTACTGCTTTCTAAATGGATTTCAAAAATTTTTGTACTAAAAATCAGTTTTATAAAACAGCTAAAAAAAAGTCCCAAACAAAATCATAGTTTATAGTTAAAGCTGTCAACCAATATGTTAAGATGGGCAAATTATTGGGTCAGGTGACCGAAGCCATCTCTCCGTTCGGTCGCCAATAAAAATGCGACATCTGTTAGGCGTTTTTTTAATTTATTATTAACGCTTTATGTCTTGTCAGATTAGCGACCCGATCAGCACAAGTCATCATCCAAAGTATACATCACAAGCTATGTTCATATGATCACATAAATCCAATCATCATTATAAACTCCACCATTAAGTTTTCTCAATTGATTCCGAAATTTCGATTTCATATAATTAAGGATGTTAATATCATTGAAGAGACCCACATCACAATTCTCTATTATTATTTCAGCTGATAGCAGATGATCATAGAGGGCCACAGAAAACTAAAAATATATATTTTTTTTCTTTACAAGTGCTGGAAAGAGACAAAAAGCAGCATAAAACAAAAGGATCACAGCATCAGCAAGTTGGCAACTATCAGTCTCTGATTATGTAAGATCTTCTGCTATGCCGATACTCTATACAACTAAAAAAGTTGCCTAAGGCATCAACGAACTTGGGCTCGTTGATTCGCAAAACGGTAATGGCGAGATTGCTGCGAAGTTTATGATGTCGTTTGTCGCCTCTGCGTAATGGAACTCGATTTGTAGGCGATGGTGAAGAGGAGTAGAAGCCATGAATCCCTTCTTGATATCAGCCTCTAGCTCTCTAATAGGAATTGCAGCCAGGAAGCTCTTAATGTATTCCTTACAGGATTCCTTCCCCCTGCAAACCAGCTCCTCGCCAATGGCCTGTTTGCAATCTTCTACTTCTGCATCAGGACTCTTTTGATTTGAAATCCTGTGAATTATTGTGTTTTCATCAAATTTAAGGATGTAAGCCTGGTCACAACCCTCATAAAGTCTCTCACCAAGTGTGTCTATGATGTAATATGCATCTTGTTCAACTTTGAGGACGAAGAAGTGGTCGTTCCAACTAACTATATACAGGCAATCTGGCGACTCGGCCGACCTGATTTCATCCCATATGTCGTCAAAAGACATAGCGCCATGGAGGAACTCAAAGCCTCTGTTATCTTTAAATCCTTCTGGATGGAAGAATCCAACAAAGGACTTTTTGGGGACTACGGATAGAGGACGGATCTTTGCCTGGATAACTGTCTCGAGGTCGAAATGCTTATCGGGGAATCGCTCTCTGTATGTTGGGTTCTCGCACAGGTTCCGCCACTCCAGGGAGCCTTCGCGAATTAGTGTGTCGAATTGGGACTTGATGGGCATCATATCATGGTTTGAATTGAACCAATCGGCAATGATGGCAACAAGAGCTGTACATGCACTTTGACCAGCTGCCCGCTCGCTCCTCTGATCGATGGACGCGAAGAAAACCTCTGTGGAGAGCTTCATTTTTCCGTCGCGACTTGTGAGATTTTTTGACTCCCAGCTTCCTACAGCAAAATTGTCATCGCCAAAGTCTGATACTGATGAATGTTGAGCTGATCGATCATCATCAGCCTTGAGCCCCTGAGAAATAAAGAGCATTGCATTAAAATGAGAGAAACTTCTAACATAGCAAAAAATACGTCTTAACTGCAAGCAAGTTTAATAATAACTATAAAACTCACAGAATGAAATAGGTTTGAATCTCAAACAACTCGAGTAGATATCCCATATAGTGATTTATATTAAAAGGGGTTTGTTGTAGAGTCTAAAATAAGAGAAATCTTGCAGTAATTATCATAATATACTAAAAAACATAGCCATAGTAGCAATACCATTCCAGAGAGAGATTCATCAGAGGAAGTCAACTGACGTCGGTCATGATCAATATCATCTCCTCCCTCTTCTCCATAAGCCTTCTTTAACAAAGGCTCACCTTTGGCCTTAGGAGATCTAAAATTATATTTCCTCTTTCTCCAAGGAAGGATGCTTCTTTTGGTGGCCTGCGAAATAAATTGCTGCTCTGTAACAGATGATGCCGTCTCCTCAACATGCGGATACTCAACATCAGATCGCCGATGACTATGATAGACACAATCTTCATACTCTCCATTAAAATTTGTGTCGCAGTGAAGGGCACCATCAACATAATTTGCATTTGACAGTGTGCCATAACTGAATGACCTTCTTATAGTAGCATCACCTTTCTCATCTTCAATTTCTTCATCAGGATTTTCGTCCGGGGAATCTGTATCAAATTGATAGGTGTAATCAGCGTCTTCACTACCAGCAGAGCACCTGCCATCACTGCCTTCATCCTCTTGGACAGTCTTCTTCGGCTTCCTAGTTGACACAAACTCTGTAAGTATCTTTACTTTCCTCAACCCAGCTTTAAAAGCAGATTGCTCGTCTTTCTCATAAGAAGCATCAGCAGGTGGAGGAGACAAGGGAGTTGGAACCACATTCTTCTGCACAATCTCTGATGATTCTGGAGAGCTTTTCAATTCCAGCAATTTGACAGTCAACTGCAACATTAAAAACACTTCATATGAAATAAACAAGGATGGGCAAGGCATCTAACTACACACAGCATTTGATAAACAAAAAATAGAATATTTAGACATGACAATTTATATGTTACATAAGAGATTAAATTTGTCAATCACAAATAGAGGTGCACTGCATTTTAAAAAAAAAAGTGCACCAAATTAAAGAGAATCAATTAAAACATACACGAAGTATCGGCGGAGAGTCGACATTAACGATCATCATCGACAAGGGAAGATTTAGCTCAATCTCTTCCCCGGAGGAAGACGTATATTCAGCAAGATTCAAAGAAGTTATTCCAACAATGGATGCCTTGTTCTTGGACAGCTGCTTCACTCCCTATAGAAAACAGAGTAACTGATTAAGGTTCCATTTTATGCAGTTCCGGAGGCCTATAAGCACAGATTACCCTTTCAACAACAAAAATAACGGACAAAAACCAAGATTTCAAAAGAAGCAATGCAACATGGGAAAAGTAACATCCAATTCTATGGAGAAAAAATTTCCCCAGATATCAGAACATTGATTCAACTTTGGGAGAACACTCCACAGTTACTAAAATGATGTTAAGACAAACAATCATAGAAATTTGCGGGATTTACATACATGCCATAGAATTTTTATGTGTTTAAATATCTAACATTAAAATCTTTATATTTACTAATATAATATCATGATCTATAAATCAAATTGAAATAGCGCTAACTTCAACTTATTCAAAGTGAAATGCATATTTTTATGCATTTATTTTGATGTGATTTAGAAACTAGAATGCTATTAAAGTAAACATAAACATTTAGATGTTACATGTATAAATACATGAGAATTATGCCGTATGCATAGAAAGTCTTCAGAATGGGTAAGGATTATCCTCAATCTACGTTGAGTTGAAATAACTTTGCAGCTTTGTGCGTTACTTATGCTCCCTAGATTACTGTCAAGCACATAAGATTACTTTGCGCGTTACATATGTTCCCTAGATTACTGTCAAGAACATAAGAAAAGAGAAAAAAGTTTATTAGAAAATCAAAGTTCGCTGTTTAATTTAGTGTTTCAGATAATAAATTAACAGAGCAAAAAATTTAAAGAGTTCACTAGATTTTGGATACATTGGTTTTTGGAGAAAGACAATAAGCAATGGAAAAAAATAAAGAAGCAGCTGCAAAACAACAGTTCTTATGATGGATATTTCTTTCCTAACCATTCGTTTTAGCCAGGATACCGAGTAAGAAAAAGGGTTACCTATAATAAAGTCTTAGCTTTATTGATTCCTGGATGTAGTGATTATTATGAAATCAAAATCCTGTAAATATATAATTTCATACCTCCCAAAAGGCCAAGATTGTAGGCTTAAAAAAAAAAAAAAAAACACCAACAGGAATTCAAATCCTTAATCAGGTCAATTCAGATCTGCAAAAATCAAATCCAAAAACAACATTCACTATTCCCTTCCTAACTTCACATAGATATCCACAACAAAACATAAATGATCGTTGATCAGAACTCATAGAAATAATCATTTACCCCTTAATTACCTCAACTCCATGCAACAGAATAAACCATGCTTAACTCTTTGACCGTATCATAGGATAACCGATGTTTTCCTTAATAAGAATGCCCCGTGTAGAAATAATTCGCATCAAAGCAACAAAACCAAAGAAACAAAATTGATCAAAACTGTCACTCATGCAAATATTAAGTGGCCAAAAAACAAAACCCAAATCTAAAATACTCAAATCAGGGAAAATATGTAGAGAATCCACAAAAGAATCGACAGAAAAAAAAAAAAAAAAAAAAGGCATCCGAAAGAAGACTCACAGAGAAGACGGCAAACTCAATCTCCCACGGATAGAACACGTTCTCCTTCTGCTCCGTAAGCGCAACCACGCTCTCAAATTCCTCGTTCCACTCCACCTCCCCTTTCTCTCCCTTCACTTCCTCCTCCCTCGTACAATTCCTCCTCACCTTCCTCCTCAACGAGCTCAGCGCCGTCATCCTCGGCCCCTTCCACCTCACCTCCGCCGTCAGCATTCCCGAACCCGCCGAAACCTCCGTCGCCGCCCGATCGATCGCCACCCCTTCGATCCCACGCACCACTACCCTCACCTCGAACTTCCTCAACACAATCGGCGGCCATGGCCACCGTATCATCTTCGTCACCATCTTAACCCTAGATCCCTACAATCCCAACCTCAGAGCCTCAATACAACCACCCAGACCGCATTCCCTCCGCCTCCTTCACCTTCAATCCCTCGCCGGCAGTAATCCAATGAAAAGTTCTTAGAGAGAGAAAATCGAGAGAGAACAGATAAAGTAAATTAAAAAAGTTTCGTAGTTTGGAAGTCGCTTATGGGCACAGTCGAGCGGCTTTTATAATCGGATTTTTGGGAATCTGTTTTTATATCTCAAAACCGCTAAACCTAACGGCATCCGAGCGTGTTGTTGATAAGAACGTGTAAAGACAAAAAAGCCCTCCATGGACAAGTCTTGCGGGAAATTTCCTTTGTATTATAATGTGAACCGCTACGGTACGTTACGTCGCGGATTTCGTCTATTTATAATGTACTAAAACCCGTTCACACGAAAATACAGGTCAGATAAGTAAATAAAAAATAAATTTATTCGTAATATGTCATTTTTTCATTTATAATAATAATTTATTTAATATTTTTTAATGAAGATTAGAATATATTGTACAATTTTATTCAGATAAAAATTATTCTATACTTTATGTACTTCAGCCGAAGGCCATTTTACAAGGAATAATGTAGGCCGGTAACCCGTCTGAGCGCGATCAATTATTCAATTTTAGTGAGATTTTTACTCATGTGGAACCCACTGAATAAGTACCAATTATTTTTTGACAAATAATCTGATCTGCGCACGTGCGAGGCTGTAGTTTGTCAAATGAACAATACAATTTTACTAGGGCAATTAAAAAGTAGTTTAATTTTTAGTCGTTATAAGTTTAATTAATAAGGATTTGATAGTAATGAATTTAGATTTATTAAAAAAAAACTAAAATTCATTGACAAGAATGATTAAATACTTTATATAATATGATTATATAGAACAGGACAAGATAAATTTTGAGTTCTCTAATAAATTCTATTTTAATTATAGAGAATTTAAAATTAATCATAAATATGATTATATATAAAACAATCTTAATCCTGAGTTATTAATAAACTCCTATTTGTGACATTTAGTTTTTTTATTTACTCGAAAATAGTTTGAAAGAAATAAACTCAATCCTTGTATTTCAGAAACACAATGAAACAAATGGCTATGAATGTTAATATACAGATATGGAATCCATTCCTTTCAATTTTGAAAGTTAGAAAATTAGTTCCCTTGAATAATTAATTCAGAACTTGAACAATTGAGCGCTCAAATTTTATGACTAGATCACAAAGTTTATTGTTCATTAGAGAATTAATTGGAATTCAAGGATCAAAATATAATTAGTGATGTGACAGAATTACCTAGCTCTAATTATGAACTTTTTATGGAGGATTATTTTATATGTAATGATTAAATCAATGGACGATTCAATTTTTTAATTGAGTAAATTATATTATAATTTCAAGAGTGAAATTTCATATTTATAGTGAAATAATTTTGATTTATTAATTTAAGAGTTAAAATAATAATTAAATTTATTGGAGCTTGAATTATAGGTCCATAGGTCCCTTCTTCATCACCTAAGCTCTATTATATATTGAACACTAAGAATGTGACATAATATAAATGTTAATTATGATCACATTAGTAACATATTTATGATCATCTTTTAATTTTATATTTCATGAAGATAATAATGACTCATCATTAATATTTTCTTAATATTAAAAGATAAAGATAAGATTGATGATAAGTCATGATGTGCCATGATAATTATCATCAAATATCTTTTAATATTAAAAAGATAAAGATAAGATTAATGATAAATTTGATGATGTGTCATGATGTATCATGATAATTATCATTTTAATATTTATTAAAAATATTTAATGAAATACTAAGAGGTGCTTATGAAAAGATGTGAACTTTTCTTATAAATAAGAATTAAAGTTCTATATGAAAATGATGATGATACATAATTCCTTCATGAGAGATGGAAGAATATATATGAGAAGAATGTTGCTCTCATTGTCTTTTCTTTTGAAGGATTAAATTATGTTTAGAACACAAATTAGATTCAAAAGAAAAAATGTTCATCAATAATTGATTGATTGTGCCCACTCACTAAAATATATTTTGTGGGGTGATTAGATGAAGAAGGCTTACGGTCTCATTCAACGTTTCGACGAAGAAGATCTCAAATCTCAATCAATAATTCGGTAAAATTTTCTTCATTTTATATTATAAAGTTATTTATTAAGAAAATTAATATTGAGAATGTCTTAATTTAATTTTCTAAAAATCCTATTTTTTATTTCCGCATTTTATATTATGATATAAAAATTCCTACAATTGGTATCAGAGCCAGAGTTTATTACTGAATAAATCTTTCTGGTTTATTAAAATTCTTATTTTATATGATAAAATTAAGCCCACTTTATAATCATTTTGTTCATAAGATGAAAAATGATTAAATGTTATAATTTTAATAGTTATGTAATTTCTATAATATCTTTTTATAAAATAAAGTATTTTTTATGAGATATTTTTATGCAAAAGATATTTGAAAAGTGTTTATGTATTTTTTTAAGCCAAGAAAATCTGATCTAGA